GCATTCAACTTCCCTTGACCATACCCCTCACGCACGCTCAAAAAACCCTTGCTATATTCCATACATGCCCATTTATATCCCCTTTTAGAAAAAGTTTTTCTCCTTAAGGTATATCCTGAAGTAAGCCTTCTTAATCCTCCCAAAATTTTAGTAATGACTCTGAATTCCTAATTTCACTAATACAATTGTTTTTCATATTCAATTTAATTGTAAAATGTTTTTATTGCTTTCTTTGTCAGACTAACTATGATTGATTTACAATTAACAATCAGTTGGACCGTAATTGTTAAGATTTTTGTACGATTAAACTATAGTAGATATCACCTAGGACTAGGGATATCATATAGTTACCGGTTAAATCTTGATAAAATAAAGGCTTGATTTCGTCATAATTCTCTAAGGACTTAGGATTTAGGATGAATGTTCAAAGGTTTTCCCACTAAAGACTTAGAGGAAAATAAACTAAAGATCTGGTAATTAAGTATTTTGAACTTGTTGAAGAAATCAGGATTCAAGATTATCACAGGGAAAATTATACACTTTATCCTAGCAGGCTCCTCATATCTGTGAAAAAGTCAATTAACTATTCGACTTATTTTTACTAATTATTAAGTGATAATTTCTAAACAGAACCCCAATTTAAGTTTTTGTTTAATTGAACTAAGCATTAAACTCAATATTGGCGCGCATTCCTTGAGATCGACATTTAGGGAATTTCCATGTTATTACTACATAGATAAAATAATACACTTGTTATTTTACCGATCAAGTTTTTGGCACCGTTGTCAGGGACTTCCAAAATATAGAGTTTGATTTGAGTTCAATTAGAATTTTATTGCTCTGCAACTAAAATTTTATTTTCTATTATTTTAATATATTTTTTATTACTTATTTTTGTCTAATCTTTATATGCGAGGAAAGTCCTCAGCTGGATTTCTTTTTGACGCAAAGATCGAAATAACTTTTCACGTAAGGTGAAGACAAATTTGATTAGCCTTACTGGCCTCCGATGAAGAACACTCAATTTATATAGAGACAGAGTCAAAATCAGAAGAGGAAATACAAATGGGAGAAAATCCACTAGCACCTGAGAGGATACTTGGTGACTATGGTGGTATAAATGTACTGGCTGGTAGACTGACAATTATAAACCAACCGGTAACTGTGCCAAATTTTCAAATGCATCCGAGCACAATCACTCAACTTGAGAGGAAATCTTTCACCAGAAAGGTCAATAAAGAATCCGATAAACACTTGCGAGGTTCCTCACCATGAGTACTACTTTGAAGACTGAGGGACACTCTGAAGAAGCAAAGAAATTAATAATATTTCCGTTCACGCTATCTGAAGATGGTGAAGAGTGGTTTTACTCATTACCTGCTGGGAGAATTACTACTTAGAAAGAGATGGAGACAATTTTTCTTTATGAATACTTTCCTGCTTCTATTTATATTCGCAAAAGATATGATATTGTGAATTTTAAGCATAAAGAATGAGAGTCACTAGGTGATGCTTATAAGAGGTTCAAGAGGTTGTTGGTAGCTTATCTCACTCATAATACAGATCAAACTGAACAAATGCATATGTTTGTAAATGGTCTCAGAATGAAGACAAACGGAGAAGATAATTGAAGCAATTCCTGCAAACAAACATTTGGAGTTGTATGAAAGGGTTGCAAGAAAACCATATGGGGTGATTGATTTAAAGTTGGAGGCCAAAAAACAACTCAAAGTTGAAGAAACAGTTGCTGCAAAAGTAGAGAAAAAACTGAAGGCATTGAAAGTAGACACTTAACAGGTAGCTCAGGTTCAACAGGCACAAAAAGTGGTTTGTGAGATTTGTAGTGAACTACACATGACTGTAGATTGTCTTGCAACTCCACAACAAATTGAAAAGATAAAAAATTTTAGGAAGAATAATCCTTACTCAGATACTAACAATCCAGGTGGAAGAATCATCCAAATTTTTCCTGGAAAGATCAGCAAGGAAATGCCCAAAATCAACAACAAGTTTCAAATAAGGTAGATTGGGAAGTAGCTATTGAAAAGATGGTTGCCCACACTTCTCAATTATAGGAAGAGACAAGGAGCAAACACAGGAATACCACAACTTCCATAAAGAATTTGGAAGTTCAAATGGGACAAATAGCACAATAATTATCTCTGCAAGCACATGGCAATCATAAAAGTCAAGAGAATGTTAATACTATCACAACAAGAAGTCAAAAGGGGTCAAAAGGTGAAGAAGAGAAGGTATCAGATGATAACTATGTGACAAAGGTAGATCTGGAAGTGAGAGAAAATAAGAAAAAGTTGGAAGAAGTTATACCACCTGTGAAGTCAACTAAAGACAAAATTAAAAAGGAGGCTAAACCGGTGATTAAGTTGTCATATCCCTCTCGAGTAGCAAAGAAGGACCAAAAGAGAAAGACTTTGAGAAATTTGTCACAATGTTCAAAAATTAGAGATCAACATGCCTTTCTTTGAAGCTCTCGAGAAAATACCCATGTACAAAAAATTCATGAAGGAGGTACTATCTAAAAAGAGACCAATTAAAGATGGATCGGTATATAGTGATGAGGAATTGTGTGCAATCTCGTCAGAGAGGAGAATCCCAATCAAGCAGAAAGATCCTGGATCAGTTGCAATATCGTGCATTATAAAAGACAGAATATTCAAGAGGGTTCTAATTGATTTTGGTTCTAGTGTGAGCTTAGTACCGTTATCTATCTTCAAAAATCCTGGTATTGAAAAGATAAGCGAGAGTGAGACAAAATTAAAATTTGTTGATCACACTATTAAGCAGTCATATGAGATAGCTGAAGATGTATTGATGAAAATTGACAATTTTGCCTTCCAGTTGATTTCCAGATCATGGACATTCTTGAAGATGAAGAGACTCCTATCATTTTTGGTCGACCATTTTTGCTTACTAGTCGATGCAATTTTGATATCGAGAAAGGGAAGCTGACGTTAAAATTATTTGATGAGGAGATAACGTTGAAAGTGCTGGAGATTAAGAAGCAAGGTACTGGTGGAAATAACCATTCGTCTGTTAGAATGATCAAAATAGAAGGAGAAAACAATATCTCAAAATCACTTATATAAAAAGTCTCAGACATAATCTCTCAGGTGACATCATCTCATACGCCTATCAAAATTCTTAAATTCATTCAGATTTAGGACCTCAACGCATAATAAAACTAAGATTTATTTTCTCAATACTACTCTCTAAATTTTTTTCTAAAATTTTAAATAAATACTATTAAAATGATAAAGATAAATTTTTATTTTAAATAAAAATAAATAAATAAATTGTTTAAAGAAATCGACAGCCCTTAATCGGTGGGGTCAATTTCTACTATTACTTGTGAGAGGGAAGAAATATTTAAGAAGGTTATTTCTTTAAAAAAAAATTTAAAACATTTAAACAGAGATTGATACAAACGAGTGATATGTCACTATTGAGGCATTATTAAATTTAAATGTTGTCGGCATAAGTTACAAAAGCCAATGCTCCTAATAAAGAAAATAAAGCGTGTGGACTTTGATACCTCTTCCATCAAATCTTGTGCACATTGTCACGCCCTTTGACATTTTCTTAAGTCAACCTCCTAAACACTACTCCGGTACTCCCCGTGTAGAAAACTCTTTTACTACATCTGAATTTATTTACGATGCAATGAAGTTATTTCTTAATTGTTTTATTATCTATTTTTCTGTATTTTTATATTAAATTAAATGTATAATTCTGTTTCATAATCTTATCTATTTGAACTAAATGCAGTAGGATTCTACTGTCATAATCTTACTTATTTAAATTAAATACAAGAGGATTGTCTATTATAATCTTACTTATTTGAATTAAATGCAAGATTCTTCATTCATATGCAAAGAATATATGTTTCAAAAATAGAATATTCAACTACCATTCTGAAAAACAGAAAAATAAAAATCGAGATACCAGAAATTATAATAAAAAAACATAACATAAGATGTCAGTTAATCAAAAAATATTAAAATAAATATATTTTAATACAATATTTTTATTTATTTATTAATTTTTCACTTAACTAACTACAACAATAAATACATTTCAATAAATAATATTAATTTTATTATAAAATAATGTTAAATGCATTTTCAATTTCTTTATTTTTCAAAATTAAAAAACTAACCCAAAAATAAAATTTAAATCCTTGCGTTTATAAATTCTGAAATCACATACAATTAATGTGTAATTAGTGTATTTTAGAGATCATTTTTGTCGTTTATTTCTTCAATATTATCTCTTTTTAAATATAATATTATATATCTGAATTAAAGGCAGATTCTGCCGTCATAATCTTACTTATTTGAACTAAATACAGAAAAAAATTTGTGTTATCATCTTTCTTATTTAAACTAAATGCAGGAGGATTCTAGTTAATCTTACTTATTTTAAATAAATACATGTTGTTATAATCTTATTTATTTGAATTAAATGTAGAATTATGCAGTGATAATAAAGAATATAGATCCCAAAAAGTGTTCAATGAAACTTTTTGAAAATGAAATTATTTATTTGAACTAAATGCAGGATTCTGCAGTTATAAATAGAGAAGATAGATCTCAAAAAGTATTCAACAAACATTTTGAAAATGAAATAAAATTGAAAGATCAGAAGTTGCAATTAACCTAATATGTCAGCCAATCAAAAATTATTTAAAAAATTCCAAAATATAGCATGACCATTTTATTGAAAATTCTCAACAAAAACAAAAAACAAAGCAATAAAATTTGCATAGAGATGCCAAAATGCCAACAAGTTCTTTCTAACTTGACTTTGTAAAAAAACTCACACTTTTCCCTCTCTATATAAACAAAGTCTATCCCACTTATTGTACTAACTCACCTCTCTCTCTCTCTTCACCTCACCAAAAGTCAGCGCCTTCTTTTGTCTTTCTCTCTCAAACAGAACCACCAACCTCACACATTATTGCAGCCTTTGTCTCTTCCGCTATGGAACAAGATTGGGATCTCCATGCGGTGGTTAGAGGTTGCTCCACCGTCACTTCCACCACCAACACACCAACCCCTTCTATTTCCTCCTCTCTTTTCCCCCTCCACCCCGAACCTTCTTGTACCTTCTCCTCTATATTTACCACCGAACAAAAACCTCAAACTTTCTCACTTTCCACACACCCTTTTGAACCAAGAACCTCCATTGAAGAGTTGCATGAACTTTGCAAGCCTTTCATTTCTAGATCAGACCCTCTTTCTTTGCAAACTTCTCCTCTGTTTTCTTCATTCTCTTATTCCTCATTAGCACCCAAATTACCTCTAACACAAGACAAACAACAACACAGAACTAAACAACAACACCAAGGTGATTCTCTCACCAACTCAAGATCAAAAAGAAGGTACAAATAAAAATACATAATAATTTACTTTACTTTTGATTTTAAAAAAATGAGATCTTGAACTCACCCATCTCATAAAAATCATGCTCTTTTTGTTTCTTCACAGGAAAAACCAACTTAAGAAAGTTTGTCAAGTACCAGTTGAGAGTCTCTCTTCAGACATATGGGCATGGAGAAAATACGGACAAAAACCCATTAAAGGCTCACCATATCCAAGGTAAATTTCAAGAAGAAAAAAATTCAATTTTTTTCATTTTTATGAAGCATTTTTTATTAAATTTTTCTTGTGTTTTGCAGGGGTTATTATAGATGTAGCAGTTCAAAAGGTTGTTTAGCAAGAAAACAAGTTGAAAGAAACAGATCAGATCCAACAATGTTCATAGTGACATATACATCTGAACACAACCATCCTGCTCCTACTCACAAAAACTCTCTTGCTGGTTCATCTCGCCAGAAGCCATTAACGCCACCTCAAGCTGAAGGTGAAACAACCAACAAAGATGTAGCAAAAGCCTCTTCTCCTGCTACTACTAGCACTACTACCTCAGGACCTGAAGAAGAAGAGGTTCAGAATCAAGGAGAAAAGTCTGAGAGCAAGGAGGATTCTTTGATGGATGATGAAGATGTAGATGAGTTTGGCTTATCTGATGTTGTTTTGAGTGATAATTTCTTTGACAGTTTAGATGAACTGAGTCAACTCGGTGGTTCTGGAGATTGTTTCACAGATCCATTTTCTTCTGGTATAGGGATACCTAATTGGGCTGCTGCTACGGCTGCAGGTGGTAGCTGATTTGTGTTTTGTTGGGAAACTCAATCATCAGAAACATGTCTCTTGCTTTTTCATTGAAGAGTATAGGAACTTTTTTTTCTCGAGTATTAAAATTGACTCTTTTTTTTATTTAATATATTTGACCATTAATGTAATATATATAGTTTATATATAGACTACGTATATAAATTATATATATATTAATCGTCAAATATATTAAAATAGTCAATTTTATTTATAATTTATTAAGGAGAATGTATTTGATGTTTTAACACAGTTATCAATTAAATTAAATTGATTTAGGGGAAAAGAAACTTTTCTTTGTTTTTATTTGTCGAAAAAATGGAACATTTTGAAGGAAGCTTTATTAACAATGACAGTATAGTAAAGTAAGGAGAGATCAGTAGTAGTGACATAGATTAAGGTTTTAATTGTCTATGCTAATCTTGTTTAATTTGATTTTATTATTATTAGGCATTTATACTTTCATAATGTAAAGTCAATTTATTTTAGCATCTATTGTCAATTGTTATTTATTTGTCTAAGATTTTTGTGTGTGACTCAACTTCACAAAAATACAAAATCTGCTTTTAAAGTTTGTCTTAAATTGTGAGCCTAACCTAACTCCACAAAATAATCTTGCATAGGAAGATTCATAAGGGTTTATTTGTGAAATGGAATAATTCATATTAAAATTTTAAATTTTTATTTTCTTCATCCTTAATTGTTATAGAGATCAAATAATTGATATTTAAATAAAAAAGTTAATTATAAAATTTTTAAAGAAAAAAAGTTTCCTTAGCATAAAATCTTCCATATAGGAACATTTGTGTTAAAAAATTTCATGTTGTAATAAGGATTATCACTTAGCCATGACCAGAATTTAAAAACTTAACTATATTTGAATTGAGTTTACATATAAATTAGCAAAGCACATTGGTTGACTTTTAAATTTTCACCAACGATTAATATTTTGTGAATATGATATAAAGGTTCCATTCCATTGTTGTAGGTATTTATTCTAATAGTAACCACACACAATTAAAAATAGTATTGAACCATTTTTTGGGACCTAAAGATGTTAAGGTAATCAAGGAATTAGATTCCATGGTCCATATTCATTTTGAATTTTCTATAAATTATAGTATTAGAAGCAAAGTATTCCACGTCTATATAATGTCTTCCCAAGAAAGTGACACGATGGTTTGAACTTTGGAGTAAACCAGTCAGGCAGAGCAATTAGTAATTGTGCTATTTGCCTGGCTTCAAATAAATAAGAATAATGCATATTATGCCTAGTGGAACCACTCAATTAATATGCAAATTTATCTTGGATATAAATATTGTATAGTTTTCACATGATTCATCTTAAAGAGGTATTATAAAGGTGCTATTATTATCTATAGAAATTATTCATTTCATACAATAAGATCAAATTTGATTATATGATTAAGATAATGATTTTTTTCTAGGTTTGAGGTTGTGAGGGAAAAAATGTCACAAGCTGATTTTGTTCACCAAACTTTTTACCATTTGTCAACCAAATGTGAGAGCTGGACCTTACAGTTACTAGTTCTCTGAAAAAATGGGGACCAGAGTACAATACAGTCAGTTATTAGCTGTATACAGTATATACATTTAGCTTATACTCAGTCTTTGAATAAAATGGTTTAATTTTTAAATGCAATATTCTGTTTTGAAATAAAATTAAAAATTATACGAAAACTTAAACAGTTCAATCTTAGTTTTTTTTTTTTTACAAAGTCAATCTTAGTTAAATGATAATAAACGTCTGAATGTGTGAATGCAGATTATAAATAATGGAGAATAATCTGATTTTAAAAAATATAGGTAATATTAATACTTTTTAGAGTATTTATATTATAGAATTTATTATCAGCTTTATAAATTTTTTCAATAAAAATTGATCAACTGTATGCAACTACGTAAATTAATCTCTTAAGTTAAGACAATTATGATATACGGGATTTTCATTTAAGAGAATTTAATAATAATGTATGTTCAAATCTGAATTTAAACTTGGATCCAAAAAAAATAAAAAAATCAGAATTTAAACTCAAAAACTTCATTCTTTTTTGTTACTCTCAAAAACTTTATTTTGATAGACAACATCCCTTCATTTATTTATTTATAATAAAGAGAAGCAGTTCATAGTTCATTAGCAATAGGGACACACCTACTTGATTAGAATTGGGTGTCGTTGCCCCCACTAGTTATTTACTTTTGGTGAATACACCCACCTAGTTATTAATTTTACTGAATAATCTTATTTTATCGATTAAAAATGTATACCGGGTTTACTAAAAATTATTAGATAATTAATATTTATAAAGAATCAGTTGTGCAACAATGTAAAAGATAATAAAGTTTAAGATATTTTAGAAACAAACTCAAGTTTTCTTATACTTTAAGTATATCTTCCACGGCCTTTAAATTCCTTTATATTTAAAGGAAAAAAACATATCTTTTACATAATTATTTTTTAAATTCATTTACTTTATCTGTATTTTTAATTTTTTTTTGTTAATTTATAAGTGTTTATGGCTTGTTTATAACATGAAAAATACAAAAAATGTTGCTGATAAGGATTGAAATCTAAATTGGCAAATTAAACCAATCTAGAACAGCTAGTATATGTTTTAGTTTTTTATTTTATTTACAAAAAAAAATTCAACTGCTTTCATTTATCAAATATAAAAAGATATAAGGAGGATTTTTATCAATTAAACGGCATCGAGTCTAGGAATTGGCCGCTCTAATTAGAGAATAAACAAGCATATTAGTTTGAATAATTAAATATAGTGAATAACTTAATATAATGAATACTTAAATCGAATTCCGAAGAATCCCCAAGGTCGGCTTGTATAGCATGAACCACCTTATGTGAATCACTTTCAAAAATAATGAATACATAGTATCTAGAAATTGCTCCTTGGATAGTCTCCTTAAGAGCTTAGACCTCCGCTTCTAAGATGGAGAAGGTGCCTCCATTCCAAGCAGCACCTGCAGTAACAAAATCATAATGCTCGTTACGAAAACACCAACCTCGACTTGTTGTGCCTAATGGATGGTTAAAGCTGACATCCACGTTACATTTAAGCCACCCAGATGGGGGCGGAACCCAATGCAGTTGAACCATATTTCCCCCATTAGATTCATGCCTTTGTTGAGCCGTAAACCACTCTTGCCACTTATGTAAAGCAAGTCAACCAAGTTTAGAAGCTTCTTCCTTCTTGTTATGCCAAACCAAATCATTTCTATTCTTCGAAAGGCCTTCCAACATAACCGTTACTCTACCATCCACTTTCTTATCTTCCTTATAACAAAGAATTAGAGACTTAACATCCTGAAAAGCATGTAACCTGGGAGCTACAACATCAAATAAACCTGCAGCCTACCAACAAGAAAAAGTTTACGTACAACCAAAAAAAACATGTCAATCATCTTCATAATTGTTATCACATAATTGACAAACTGGTGAACAAGACACATGATGTTGAGCAAGACACGCCTTCGACGAAAGACAACCACTACAAATTCTCCAAATAAGATGTTTAACTCTAGCCGATGTTATAATGTTCCACAAACTACTCCATTTACCGTTCACATTCTTCACAATCACCATTTACTTACTCCTTCTCCAAATTCTATACCCCGACCGAACACTGTATAGTTACCGTTAAGATCCTTTTTCCAAACCAACCTATCCAACTCCACCTCTTCCACCAATAGAACCTGAAGGATATCTTTTACAATTGTATAGTCAAATAAGTCACGTAAGACCCACAAGTTCCATTGCTTAATGTTAGGTAGCATTTATACACACGTTATTTTTTTGGTCCATGCACACATCCCTTTATTCCCCTTCAACCAATAAGCATTCATTACAATAATATTTCTCCCATCTCCGATGCTCCACCTACACTTAAGAGTTAGCACCTCACAGGCCTTCCAGATACTTCTCCACACGAATCTAGGATTATAACCAATATTAGCATCAAGAAGAGAATTTCTCGAGAAATACCTTGTGTTGTACCCCAAAATTTGTCCTCTCATTTGTCAAGTATTTGCTCACAAGATCTTCTATGACGTCAAGTTTGCAGAACTGATACATCAATTTAGGCTTGAAATTGGCACAAGGGCAAAATGGTCAATTGCATACTGAAAAGTCAAACTTTGACTTTTTGGTCAACATTACATCCCAAAGATCAAATTTCATCAAGACACTCAAGAATGTCAAGCTTAATCATCAAGAAGTCAAGAAAGTCAAAAGTAAACTTGAAAAGTCAAGATTTCCAAGACTTAGGAATTTTCTAAGTGTTTTTATACATGATAATTTCATCACTTCATGCCATTATTTCACCAAGATGTAAGATGATTCAAAAGAAGCTTTTAACATGAAAGTTGTAGATATCCATGATATCTACAACATTGCTTTACACAACTTCTCCTAAATATGCTTGGATCTCAAGTTATAAATTCATGAAGTCGTGGCATTTTCATTTAACACTTAGAGAAATTTTCAGCAATCTTGGTCAGGTTTTTATCCCAACTTCTTGGCCAATTTTCATCAAGTTTCAATTTGATTTAACAAAAGTGGTCAACATGAAAGTTATAGAGGGTGTTTCAAGCTTTCCAAAATATACAAGAGCACGAATTTATCATATTTGAGCTAGGAGATATAAGGATCTGAAGTTGGACATTCATTCTTGATTTACAAGGCAGATTTATGATGAATGAGGAACAAAAATCTTAGCCATGCTGCATAACATTCACTTTGCAGGCCTCTTGACTTGTAAATCTATCCATAATCAGATGTTTACACAATTGATTGAACCATTATCCAAGTGGTTCAAGTATTGTCTATTGCATCTTTCCATTTTTGGCACAAAGGCACCATTGTCATTCTTGCAAAGTTCACTTTAATCATAAAGTCAATTTCTTGAGCCTCTAACTTGTTGTTATAATCACACTCAACTTCTACAAGTCAGAACAAACAT